GGGGGCGCTGGGTGCAGTATGAAATTCCCACCAGAGCTACGGCCACAATATAACGTCACAAACGGTGCAACCCTAAGCACATCCTACTAGGGCTTCAACGTTAACGTACTCCTACTTGAACTGCAATTGTTTGGAAATCCCACCAGAGCTGGCTTGCTAGGATCCCGTTCGACTTCTAACAGAAGAGGTGGCCACATTCACACTACACAGCAATTGTATATATACATATATATATACACTATATATAACTCCAGCTGAAGCCCTGTCGACGTCTACAATCCTAACAAGATCCCATAGCGACCAATAACATATCGTTCGAGTAAAACTGCGACTCAGGTAGAATCACTCGAGAGCTACAATTAGGAAGGGACCCTGCTAGACTATGATCGCGATTAGATACAACTAGACCTCCAACATATTCCGACTAGAGGTCCGAACCCCCACTAAAGCTACAACCCAACTAACATGGTACAGAAGCTACACGTGCTGTAAAACCCTACCACAGCTACATCTCGATTTGACTTGCACGAAGTCGGCAACTCCAGAGGAAACCAGCACAGATACAACTTCAACAGAACATTGCTGGACCTATGAGGGTAAATGTGTCTCATAACTTTCACGACCACCATGAAACGGCACAACGGCTACAAATCTAAGCAATAGCTACCAGAACCCCAACTCGAATCCATTTCTTCTGCGGCTGCTAGTAGAATCCGACGGCCGCTCGCTACGATTTCACTCGAGCGATGACACCTGCACGCAGACCCTGACCTCAATGCTGCATGATAAAACACGGCGCGGCCATCGGCCACTGCTCCGCGCTCCGAAGACCGAGCACGGCACAGCACGACACGGCACGGCACGCTCGCCGTTCGCTGTCGCCCATGGTGCCCCCCGCGAAAACCTCGCGAGAACCCCGGCCCCCCCCGAACAGTTCGCGAGAGCCGGAGCCCTCCGCGAGAAACTCGCGAGAGAGTTCTGGCCTCCTGCGCGCCGCCGAGGCCGAGAGGGCCGTCCTCGCCCTGGGGCGTCCCGACAGGCGGCTGCCCACGCGACGGCGGGGCCGTCCAGCGGCAGGCGCATCAGGGGGGAGGACTTCGCGGGGGGGGGCGGCCGTCGGCCACCGCCGTCTGGGCGGGCCCCCGCGCGCCGGAGTTCCGCTGCAGCGCAGCCCGCTCTAGGGCAGGGGGAGCGCTGAGCGCCCCCCAGAGGTCTCGAGCCGAGGCCACCTCCCCTATAGATCCTGGCGCCTCAACTGTTTCTCGAGCGGGGCGTTTTCGCCGCATTTCGGGTCCCAGGACCCTCACAGTTCGATCTGGCTCGAAGAGTTGCGCAGAAAGACGGGGTCTAGGGCTCTGGGCGTGTTTTTCTCACCTAGGCTCTGCCTAGAAGGGTTCTTACTCTGTTAGCTAAAGGGGCCGGGCAATGCTAATCGCCCCGGGCGGTTCCCCCAGTCCCCGCCCCGCGGTTCCCCCAGTCCCCTGGGAGCTTTAGCCTTAGCTTTAGCTTAGCTTTAGCTTTAGCTTAGTGTTAGCTTAGCTTTAGCTTAGCTTTAGCTTAGATTTAGCTTAGCTTTAGCTTAGTTTTAGCTTGGCTTTAGCTTAGCTTCAGCTTAGTGTTAGCTTAGCTTTAGCTTAGCTTTAGCTTAGCTTTATCTTAGCTTTAGCTTAGCTTTAGCTTAGTGTTAGCTTAGCTTTAGCTTAGCTCGAGCTTAGCTTTAGCTTTAGCTTTAGCTTAGCTTTAGCTTAGCTTTAGCTTAGCTTTAGCTTAGCTTTAGCTTAGCTTTAGCTTAGCTTTAGCTTGGCTTTAGCTTAGCTTTAGCTTCGCTTTAGCTTAGCTTCAGCGTAGATTTAGCTTAGCTTTAGCTTAGCTTTAGCTTAGCTTTAGCTTAGCCTCAGCTTAGCTTTAGCTTTAGCTTTAGCTTTAGCTTTAGCTTAGCTTTAGCTTTAGATTTAGCTTTAGATTTAGCTTAGCTTTAGCTTAACTTTAGCTTAGCTTTAGCTTAGCTTTAGCTTAGTGTTAGCTTAGCCTTAACTTAGCTTTAGTTTAGCATTAGTTTAGCTTAAGCTTAGTGTTAGCTTAGCTTTAGCTTAGCTTTAGCTTAGCTTTAGCTTATCGATCAGCTTAGTGTTAGTTTAGCTTTAGCTTAGTGTTAGCTTAGCTTTAGCTTAGCTTTAGCTTCGCTTTAGCTTCGCTTTAGCTTAGTTTTAGCTTAGCTTTAGCTTAGCTTTAGCTTAGCTTTAGCTTAGCTGTAGCTTTAGCTTTAGCTTAGCTTTAGTTTAGCTTTAGCTTCGCTTTAGCTTTATCTTAGCTTCAGCTTAGCTTTAGCTTAGCTCGAGCTTAGCTTCAACTTAGCCTCAGCTTAGCTTTAGCTTAGCGTTCGCTTAGCTTCATCTTAGATTTAGCTTAGTGTTAGCTTAGCTTTAGCTTAGCTTCAGCTTAGCTTTAGCTTAGCTTTAGCTTTAGCTTTAGCTTAGCGTTAGCTTAGCTTTAGCTTAGCTTTAGCTTAGCTTTAGCTTAGCTTTAGCTTAGCTTCAGCTTAGCTTCAGCTCAGCTTTAACTTAGTGTTAGCTTAGCCTTAGCTTAGCCTTAGCTTAGCTTTAGCTTAGCTTCAGCTTAGCTTTAGCTTAGATTTAGCTTAGCTTTAGCTCAGTTTTAGCTTTACTGTTACTACTAATGCTGCTTTCCTAGGGGCTCCAACTCCTAGGTAGGGTCGCACTGGGATAATTGTTTTTTACGATGTCGTAATTTTGTTCGAGACGTGGGATCTCAGGATCTGGGGAGTGGGCCGAGACTCCCGGCCAACTCCCTGGGGCCGGTTGTTCATCCCGAGTCGGTGTTTGACGGCCCCGAGGCCCGATAAGGGCCCCTGGAGGCTGGAGCCAGGGAGAGCATCCCGTCGTGATCCTTTCCTGACTCGAGGGGGCCTGGGGATGGCAGCGGACCGAGGCCCGATAAGGGCCCCTGGAGGCTGGAGCCAGGGAGAGCATCCCGTCGTGATCCTTTCCTGACTCGAGGGGGCCTGGGGATGGCAGCGGACACGCTGTGGAGCACGAGCGCGACGCGGTGGCGCTGCCATAGCGGCCTCGGCGACGTCCGCGGGGAGGTGATCCAGGGCCACGGTAGCGGTGGCGAGCGCTCCCGCCTAGCAGTCCTCGGCCGCTGCAGCCACGCGGCCATCAGCGACACCTTCTTCGCCGAGGTGGCTCGCGACCATCTCGACGCAGAACAGAAGCGAACAAACCATGACATGAACATGCATTTTCGGATGTCCACGCAAATTTCTCGGATCGACGCTAAGGCCCCTTGGCGGCGCCTCCAGCGCCGCACCTGGCGCGCTCCACGCGCCAGGGAGGGGGGTCCAGCGCCAATCCGAAAAATCTGCGCGGACCTCCGAAAGCTTACATTAGTGAGACTGTTTGTTCCCTGGGGAGAAATCGGATTTACGGTCGGGAGCTGTTGCTTGGCGTGCCGCGGCGGCGGCCCCAGCGACACGCCCTTGCGAGTGGGTAGCGTGTCGCTCCGCTCCGCGGGGCGGCGGGGCGGGAAAGGCTCGCCACGCTGACGCCTGGGGACTGGGACACGGATGGCGTGCAGCGCCGAGGCGTGGTGGGCCAAGGCTGGCGGAGCGGCACGCTGAGCCAGAGTTCCTGACCGAAGCCTGGGGCACCTGGAGGACGCGCCCCCAGGAGGTCGCGCCGGGCCCCCCTTGCGGGCAGTCGGGCCGCCGTCCAGCAGGACCTGGGACCCGCCGACCACGGCGCGGCTGCGGACGAAGATGCGGACGGGGCGCTCGCCGGTCGGCGACGGCCGCCCCGCAACAAGGCCTTCCGGCCTCCCAGGAGGCGCGCCTGGCGGAGAGTCGGGGAGGCTGCGCAGCGCCGCTGCGGGCGCGGGACAGAGAGAGAGAGAGAGGAGGAGGAGGAGGAGGAGGAGGAGGAGGAGGAGGAGGAGGAGGAGGAGGACGACGACGAGGCGGGGCGAGGAGGGAGGAGGGCGATGAGGAGGGGGGTGAGGAGGCGCAGACTTACTTGCGCTGCTCAGAGAGAGAGAGAGAGAGAGCAGAGACTGGTTGCGCATGGCAGAGTAGGGGGCGACGCGGCGGCGCTGGGGGTTCGGGCGGCGGCCCCCTGCGCTGCCTGGGACAGGCCGTGAACGCGGCGGAAGCGCTGAGGCGGCGATCGAGGCCGCAGAGGATGCCACCCGCCGCGCGGGCGAGCGGCGCGCCTGGCGCCGTCGGGCCTCAAAAGACGGGGGTCAATGCAAGCGGGGGTCAGCCAGGACGCCGGATCTTGCAGGATCCTGCAGGGCCGGGTTTGCATTGACCCGGGCTTGGGTGCAGGATCCTGCAGGATCGCGCAGGATCCTGCACAGCCTGATTGACCCGGGTCTGGATTGACCTGGATCAGAAGATCCCCGACGCCGCCCGGAGTTGGAAGAGCCGGGGGCACCACTCCGGACTACCGCGGTGCCTTGCGCGAGGCGGGACCGGGCGCCACTTGGCCTCGCCTGGGCCGTGTTGGCTGGGGGAGGCTCTGGCGGGCCGGGCACGGGCAGCGCCAAACGGTGGGGCCTGGGTGGGCTCTGGGGTCTCTTAAGACTGATCGCACCAGCGGCCGAAGGGGGACTCGTTGGCAGAGACTCGGGCCCGTGCCTTCCGATGCTGGGCGCGGTCTCCGCCGCGCGGGCGGTCGAAGAGAAGGCCACGCTGCCGATGTGGGTTGCGGGGGCGTTGGGACTTGTCTCGGAGATCCCAGGTCATGGCGGGACTCGGCGATGCGGCGCAAGACTGCGCGCCTCTGCGAGGCTCGCAGCACGTGCGTGAACGCGGCGACGGGCATGCCGAGCCACAGGAGAACGGTGCCCTAGTCGTCGTGACCAGTCCAGCGGGGCGGCGGCGTGCCGAGGGGACAGGATGGTGCCGCCGCCTTCATGGATCTGGACGGCATGGCGAAGATAGCCTGCCATGGCGTCCAGGCGTGGGTCCCGGGGGACCTGGCGCCTCACAGCGAGCGGGGCTTCGCGCTGGGCGATGGCCAGCAGGTCCAGGGCGCGACCTGGGGTGCAGACGGCGAGCATCGTCCAGTAGGAGATCCAGGCATGGCCCCGCGGGCGAAGGGCTGCGAGCAGGGCCGCGTTGAAGGCGTGCCGTCGGGCCTCGCTGACAGCCTGGATGCCGGCGCCTGTGATGCAGACTCGGTCAATGAGCGAGCGCGGTCTTGGCCTTGGCCTCCCCGTCCTTGGAAGGTGGGCCACGCGCGAGAGGCGCTCCTTCGCCGGGCACACACGGGCGGCGGCGGCGTCGGCCAGCTTGAGCTCCTCGGGAGATGGATCCCGGGCCGCGCTGATGCAGAGCCCCACAAGCTTGGCGCGCGAGTGGATCTCAAGAGGTGACCCGTCGAGGAGGAGATGCGACACCCGAGCTTGCAGCTCGGGGCCGAGCGCCCACCCGACCCGGAAAAGATCCAGCAGCACGGCCTCTTGCAGAGACCGGCCGAACTCGGTGGCCGCGTGACCCGCGGAGTTGGCGTGTGCCTGTCTGACCGATTGGCCCAGGCGCACATCAGGAGCTCGATGTCGTCGACAGGCCACGGGCTGCCCTGCAGGTGGCCGTCGGTGCGGGCCCAAGGGCGGGGAGCAGGCCCCGCACGCGCGGACGTAGCGGACGCGGCCGGCGCAGAGGGACCGCCTGGCGTCGACAGTGTCGGCGGGACAGCCCGCGCGGACGGAGGCAGGCCCCGGTGATGAGGCAGTCGGACACCTTCTGTCGGCCGAGCGGGCCCCGCGAGGGGGAGGGCCGCGTGCCTTGCGCGCTCGCGCTGGAGCGCGAGGGACGTGATGAAATCACCTGTGGCGGCGTGCGGGACGGCGCCGAAGCTGCGGGCATGAGTCCACTGGTCGCGCCACTTGGGCCAGGCGGCGGCAGGCGAGGGCCTCCCAAACACCGACATGTGTGAGGGAGACCAGCTCACGTCGGAACCACATCGGATTCACGTCGGATTCACCCCTGATTCGCGTCGGACCTGCGTCGGGCTCACGTCGGGACATCGCCACGGGAACGTCGTCTCACATCTGACGGGGCGGACGTGTGGACTGGATCGTGCAACCACGGCGAAGGCATTGGGAAGGGAACCACTGGATGAGGAATCCAGGGTCTAGAAGCCGGTGGAAGTCCAAGTGTTGAGGCTAGACCATGGATAGCACCACCGCCCTCATCAGACGCCTCATGGGCACACTCCTTGACCGACGCCCCCACCGTATTGCGCGCCAACATGACCGAGAGGAGCTGCTGATCTCGGCTGCACGCAAAGAGTGCCCCTTGGCAAGAGTGACCTGTGGTGCGCGGCTTCAGCGAGCCGCGGGGACACCGAATCTAAGCGTGCAGGCCAGCGCTGGGCGGACCCCCGTGGGTCCGCATCAGAGGTCACACCGGCAAGAGGTCACTCTTGTGCGTAGCCGATGGCTGGTGAGCACTACCCCCAGCCCTTGCGCAGGCTGGGGTTTGGGACGTGCAGCAAGCTTAGCTGCCCCGATACGCAACACGCGGCACTTAGCGTGTTGACACGGAGCTCAGCACGGAGATTGAAAACATGCGTTTGGCGCGACGCGTTCGCCCAAACGTGGGCCAACACGCCGAGCCACGACGCAGCGTGTCAACACGGACGTTTTGAACACGGTACGTGCTGCGTATGTTTAAGGGGCCCAGGGACACACAAATAATCAGACACAAATCCCAGGATTCTCCGTATTGTTCCATATGTTCTGATGTTCGTCTTCCCTTCCACTTCCCATATTTCCCCGTACTTTCCTGGTGATCGCCGATTCTTTGTGCCTGTAAATTTTCCCCCTCCTGAGTTGGGGGTGTGCAGCAAGGTCTCGGGCATGGCCGCCGCGGAGGTGGAGGAGGAGGCGGAGGAGGAGGAAGAGGAGCCGGAGGTGGAAGCGGAGGCGGAGGCGGAGGGGGAGGTGGAGGGGGAGGAGGAGGAGGAGGGGGAGGAGGAGAAGGAGGAGGAGGAGGAGGAGGAGGAGGAGGAGGAGGAAGAGGATGAGGACGAGGAGGAGGAGGAGGAGGACGAGGAGGAGGAGGAGGGAGGAGGGGGAAGAGGAGGAGGAGGAAGGAGGGAGGAGGAGGAAGGAGAAGGAAGGAGGAGGAGGGCACGCGGGACGCGCGCGAGCGGGCGCAAGACCCCGTCGAGGATGGTCCCGGATCTCGGAGCGAGTGCGGACGAGGCGGATCTAACAGGGGGAAGTGTCGACAGGAGAGGGGTGGGGAAAAGGTTCTTCAACCTTTCACCTTTAACAGGGGGGACGTGTCGACAGGAGAGAGGGGTGCGGACGAGGCGGATTTAACAGGGCGGACCTTCTCTTTTCAGCGCAATGTTTTGGACAGGGGGAGGGAGGTTTTTGAATTCAAAAAACTGGCTCTTGAATTCAATAAACCAGTTTTTGAATTCCAAAAACTGGCTTCCGAGTTCAAAGAATGGTGATTGAATTCAAAGAAAGAGCGTGTTCTACCGCTGCTGGCGGAAAACCGGGGGGGGTCACTACCGGTTCGAACCCCTCCCCCCCCTCCCCCCCTCTGGAAAACTGGGGGGCGTCACTACCGGTTCGAACCCCTCCCCCCCCCCCCAGTTCATCATGAAAAGGGGGGGGGGTTCACTACCGGTTCGAACCCCCCCCCCCCCTCGAACTCGAAAACCGGGGGGGGTCACTACCGGTTCGAACCCCCCCCCCCTCGAAAACCGAGGGGTGGTGCGGACAGTGGTGGGGACGGTGGTGGTGGGGACAGTGGTGAGGGGACAACGGGACAGTGGTGGGGACAGTGGGAGAGTGGGACAGTGGTGGGGACGGTAGTGGTGGGGACAATGGTGAGGACAATGGTGGGAACAGTGGGGACAGTGGGACAGTGGTGGGGACGGTGGTGGTGGGGACAGTGGTGTGGGGACAGTGGGAATGTGGTGGAAACAGTGGGACAGTGGAGGGTACAGTGGTGGTGGGGACAGTGGTGAAGGCGGTGGCGAGGACGGCGGTGGGAAAATGGGACAGAGGTACAGTGGGGACAGTGGTGGGGACAGTGGGGACAGTGGTGGGAACAGTGGGACAGCTCAGTGGGACAGCGGAGGAGTCAGTGGGACAGTGGGGACAGTGGGGATAGTCGTGGAGAAAGTTGGGAGAGTGGAACCGTGGTGGGAACAGTGGTGGGGACAGTGGGGGACAGTGCGACAGTGGTGGTGGCACTGGTGGGGACAGTAGGGGCGGTGGTGGAACCAGTGGGGACAGTGGTGGTGAGGACAGTGGCGCTGGGAACAACAGTGGGGGATGTGGTGAGGACGGTGGTAGGGACCGGGAGTCGTTTGCTGGAGGTGAGAGGGGAGGTGGGGAGGGGTTCGAACCGGTAACCCCCCCCCCTCCGGTTTTCGAGGGGGGGGGGTTCGAACCGGTAGTGACCCCCCCGGTTTTCGAGTTCGGGGGGGGGGGGGGTAGGGGAGGGGGGGGGGTTTGCCGGCGGAAGGGGGGGGGGGGAAGGGGTTCCAGCAGGGAGGGGGGGATTTTCGGGAGGGGGGGGGGGGGACCCCCGGGTTCCGGAGGAAAAGGGCGGCAATTTTCCACAGTAAAGCGGCGGTGGATCACGCTCTCTCAAATCAAATAACCAGTCGACACCCTTCTCTTTTCAGCGCAATGTTTGTGGAGACGGGGGGGGAAGGGAAGGAAAGGGAACTCGCGAAGCACCAACCAACGTCCACCACACGATGCCTCCTGTCTGGACGCTGGCTGCCGAATTTGCGCAGCTGCGCGCTACCCGCCAGGACCGAAACAAGACCCTTGACTGGGGCAGCGAAGGGGATGTGTCGACCCCTTTCCCAGACGTCGTGGACTTTTCGACTGGACCAAGAATCTGGAGCCCAACTCAGGGATAGGGGGGGGTCATCCTCGATAGGTGTGCGTCCGAAGAGCCCCCTGGGGGTGCATCCCCGAGTTTCCCTCTTTTCCTGAGCGGCCTGATGCTTCACAGAGACGTCGGGGGCTTGGGGGCGAGACATCGCCCGCGAGGATCAGCACCTCGTCCGTCAGGGGGAACGGGTCAGCGGAGCAGTGTGGTGGCAGCTCCTGGGCGCACTCCTGGCCGAACGCCGCCCAGGTGGGCATGGCCTCGTCGCTGCCGGGATCGCCCGTGCGGCGGCCGTCCGGCGGCACCTGCCGAGAATGAGCTCCCACGCGTCTTTCATGCGCCGCAGCGCAGCACGGTCTTGGTGTCAGACGCGATTTAGTTGAGACCCGCCTGAGAAGGTGGCATCTAGTGCACCGGCTCAAGGACCCGTCGCTGGAGACAAAGACGGGTTCCGTGTCGGGGACGCCCGTGGAGCCGTCCGCGTCAACGTCCGCCATGGAGGCCGAAGCGTGGTCTTACACGTGTGCGGGCTTCTACGTCCGCCCGCTGCGGGGCGCGCACAAATAGCAAGCTGGGGCTGTGCAGGCCTGTTTGACCCAGGCGGCCTGAGCCCACGCACGCACGCGCTGTCGCCAACGTTTGATCCGAGTGGTCTTGTCGCGGGCAGTGCGCTGGTGGAGATCTTGGTCGCCCGAGGTAGTGATGGCGTCGAAAACGCCCGCTGGTTGTCAAACCGTGGGGGTCCGCGCTCGCGGGAAGTCCAGGAAGGCGGCGGGGCGGTGGCTTCGGAGGGCTTGCAGGCCGCCGCCCAGGTGTAGCGGGACTGTCGCTCGTGGCCGTCGTGGCGGGCGCGGGGCCATTGGACGCGGAGGCGGCCTTGAGCTCGCGCGGCTGCCAGGGCAGCTTGTCACGGCGAAGGCACTGCGATTGGCCTACCCGACCTGAGGATCCACGCGTGGTATAGCAAAGCCGACCTTGAAACGTGGGGGACCGCCCGTGCATGGTCGGGGTCTTAGGCGTGAGCTCGCCGGGCAACGGGAGAATGATATCATATCTAAACGTGTACAAAACCGTGTGATATGTGTATATATATATACACGTAGACTCATATATGTATATACGATGTCTACATACATATCCATCTAGATATACACACAGGACGTGTACACAAAGAGACATAAAGAGCGAAAGAGAAAGAGAGAGAGAGAGACGGACGGACAGGCAGGCAGGCAGGCAAGCAGGCAGGCAGGCAGACAGACAGACAGTCAGGCAGGCAGGCAGGCAGGCAGGCAGACAGAGAGACAGACAGTCAGACAGACAGAGTGAGAGAGAGAGAGAGAAACAGAAAGAGAGAGAGAGAGAGAGAGCTTGTCCGTTCAAGTCGTCATCTCCGTCATTCGTTGGTCGTCGTCTCTGTCGTCCCCTTTCCCTGCCTCCCCCCTTTCCCTGGGCTCGTCGAAGCTCCCCCCTTTCCCAGGGACCTCCTCAGCGCGCCAGCCAAAGCGAAGTTGAGCAACGTCGTAATTGAGTCGAAGGGAAGCCCCTTCCCTTCGATCCCTCCCCCGCCGGGGGGGGGGGGGTACCGGGGGGGGAGGGCAGATACAACCCCCCCCCCTGGGAGTCTGGGAGCCCCAAAAAGCCCCAAGACAGGCCAAGAGTGCCCCAAGAGGCCCCTAAGACAGTCCAAGAGAACCCCGAATCGCCGAACGATCTGTCCAAGACGTCTTGACGGCCTCCAGACTGTCCAAGAGGCCTGCAAAGCGCCCCAAGAGGCCTCCAGACGAGAGTCCCAAGAGGCAAATTCATGAATTCCCCATACGTTGTTGAAAGATTTTGGCGTTCTTGCACCTTCCGCTTCTCGACAAAAGGCCCTCAGGATCGCCCCGAGACGGCCCAAGAGGCCCCCCAAAGGGTCCCCTAACGGCCAAAGAGGGCCCCAAGACGGCCCAAGACGCCTCCAAGACGGCCCAAGAGGCCCCAAGACGGCTCCAGGAGAGTGCCCACACGGGGGACCCGAACGGACATTTCGAGCTCTCAGCCCCAAGAGGCCCCCAAAAGGCATCGAAGAAGCCCCCAAGAGGCCCCGAAGAAGCCCCAAGAGGCCCCGAAAGGCTCTCAAGGGGCCCCCAAACTGCCCCAAGACAGCCCAGGAGAGCCCCAAATTGCCCAGGCCTCCTCGAGACGGCGCAAGAGGAGCCCTGGACGGCCCAAGACGGCCTCAAGAGAGCCCCAGGCTGTCCCAAGAAAGCCTCTGGCCTCCTCCTCTTCCTCCTCCTCCTCCTCCTCATCCTCCTCCTCCCTCTCCCCTCTACTCCCCCTCCTCCTGCTCTCCTCTGCCTCCTTCTCCTCCTCTTGCTCTCCTCCACATCCTTCTCCCCCCTCCTCCTCCCTCATCCACCTCCTCCACTCTTACTCCACCTCCCACTCATCCTCCTCCCCCTGCCCCAACCCTCGTTTTCAACTTCGTCGTTCTCAGGGTCGGCGGCACCAGCCGCAAGGCCTTCGCAATATCCTTCCAGATGGTGCGCTTCACGATACCACCCCTGCAAAAAAGTCGGCACGCACTATGCAGCGTGACGTGCAGAAAACAAATCATTCGCGCTGCCAGACTGCAATGTCAGGATTGCTGGTTGAGGGAACCCGTCCCGATATAAAAAAAACGAACACGCTCGTACGCATGAGCGCGAACCCCGAATAAATGATCTGTAGTGGAAGGCATAGGCACAAAGTAGCGTGCTGCTGGCTTCAACGAAGGGCGCCAAGTTCTGCACATCGTGATGTAGAAAGCCCAGACATCCGGCGGCTCGATTGTATCGACACATGGGCCCCCAGACCTCTCGACCCCTGTCCCGAGGCAGGCTTTTCATCCTGAACCGTCGTTTGACGGCTCTTGGGCCCGAAACTGGCCCCGAGAGGCCGAACGTGGAGAAAGCCCGGCCGCCTCGACGTTCCGAGCCGCTACATGTCGGGGAATGCGGACGTACGACACGGGGCAGAGTAAATCAGTGAAGAACAGCGGGACGTAGCACCCCCGCGCAACGCCGGTACCCCACGTTCTTTCCGAAAGTCCTTGCTGGCAGCCGCGCGGCTTGGCGACACTTACTGGTCACCCTTCGACCTCTCGGCGGCTCACCCACTCCCCCCACTGAACCTCCACCCGAAGCTAGGCGCCCTAGCCGCGTCGGGACTCCAATTGTGTCCATCGAAGCTGATGGGGCTGATAATCATCTTCTCGTGTGCTAGCCTCGCTTACCTTGGCGCGGGCTTACCTTGTCTGAGAAAGATACGGCCAAGCGCACCTAAGCTAAACGTAGCGTGGCGTAGACGAGCTCCACTTGGCCTGGGAGCCATCCGGAGGAGGGTGGGTGGGAATCCTTTGTCGGCCTCGAATCCGACCGTTCCTACTGCGCCCGTACTCCCCACGAGCCAGGCACGTCCCAAAAATTGGCCGAACGCCGCTGGGTCCGCTGTTCCCTCCCTCCCTCCCTCCCTCCCTCTCTCCCTCCTCGTTCCAAGAAAGGTGCTGGACGTGCCAGACGATGAGCGAGCCTTCGGGCTCATCCCGCCGCTTCAGGCAGGTCATCGCCCAAAATAGGTCGGGCATGTCAGTTTGAAGGGGGCCGGGAGGCCTGACCAGAAGCTTCGCCTCAGGCGAAGCGCGGCTCCAGCTCTGTTGCACCGCAGTAACGGATAGTCCCAGTCGGAGGAGGTCGTCGCGATAGCGACAAGCCATCTCAAGCGAATGATGTTTTCGGTCTCGATGGCAAGTAGCATGCCTCGCAATGAGACGCAGTCACATGTTGGCGGCCGGCCGCTTGAGCCCAAGCGGCTACGGACAAACGCTCGCTATCGCTCGCCCTTGTCCCAGCTCGTTTTAGAGTCGGGGGGAGGGGGAGTCGAAGCGTGAGTCCGCCGCCCCTTATACAGTAAACACTATCTATCCAAAGGCAGCAAAAGGCGGGTTCGCAAGGAAGGTGAACCCGCAAGCAAGTGTCTTTGCGCACAAGTTGCCTTGCGAGCAGCTCGCTGTATAAGCGAGTGCTACCCAGGCGGCCTCAGACGATGTTGTCTGGCCGGCCCGGTACGGAGCATGACGTTTTAAGTCATGATTGAAGGATTGCGTTCCTCCCATGACCTGCAGGAGCATATCTCTGTCAATGCTCCCCTTTGTGTGACCTTCCACACTCATATCGCGAGTGCCACAACACTGGATACTATGCACGATTCCTCGCTCCACCATCTATCGTATCCAACTGATGTGTCCCAAAAGAGTACACTCTGTCGGCTTCTTCAGGTCTTTGCTTGACAAGGACTTGAAGAGAGCGGGAAACGCCCTGCTGCTCCCTCTCGCTCCTCCTCTTCCTCCTCTTCCTCCTTCTCCTCCGCCTCCTCCTCCTCTTCTCCTCCTCCTCCTGCGGCTGGCTCCTGCGTTCGCAAGGTGTGCCCTGGGGGCCCGAGTGATCGCTGGCCTTTGCCCTTGGCCTGGTGTCGCCATGCCGGTACTACTGCATCTGGTTGGACTCTTCGCCTGCTGCTTCTCCTGCGGCTCCTCTTCCTTCTTTCCCTCCTCCTCCCGACCGACCCTCAGCAGAGAGCTGTTCTGGCTCCGCCCCGCCCGAGCTGAGTGAGATTGGCGCCCTCGGCCAACGTCTCTTCTCAATACAGTGCTTGGACGGGAGCCCGCTGTTCGTATGCGTTCGCTGCAAGGCCTGTTCCGCACTGGGGCCTCTGCTCCCCTCAGGGGAAAATACAATCAACCTAGGAGAGAAGCCCTTGAGCCGGGTCAGGCGTACGATGGAAAAGATGCAAGGCCACCGCCGAGGCGTAAGGAGCGCACCGGCTTGGCGCATCCGAACGGCAAGGGGGCACGCAGCCCGTGGGCGGGGGAAGGGGCCCTCCGACAGTGGCACGTGGTTGGTTGCGCCAGCGCCCTGCCTGCCGGCGGGGCACGGACGGGCTTCAGGAGGGTCGGGAGCAGAAGCACGAGCGGCAGCCCCGGACGAGATGGAAGCACAGAGTGCTCTGTCAAGGGCAGGCACCCTCGTCGAGACGAGGCCGAGGCAAAAACAAATCCTGCCGCTCGGCCCCCCGCCCCCGCCCCACCCCCCCGAGGCCGCGCGCTCCCAGCCGCGGCGGCGGGCGGGCGCGATGCTGGGCCTCTCCCCGCGCCCCCTCAGGCGGCCTGCGTGCGGCTCTCGGGCACCGCCTGCCCCGAGCTCCGCTGCCGCGCCCGCGCCCGCATGATGGCGTGCATATACTGCAGGGCCTCGCTGCGTTGGGCGAGGCCCTCCTGGGTGGCGACGTCCGAAGTCCCTGCCTCGCCAACGATCGGTTCTCTCAAGTCAATGGGAGGCGGCGGCAGGGTTCGGACTCCGCCGCGTGGTCGACGAACTCCGAGCCCTCGACCCCCGCCGCCCACCGAACTGCCTGGATCGTGGATTGGCGATGGCAGGGCTCGGATTTCGCCGCCGACCGCCGCCGCGGTCGCAGGTCGGGGGCTCGGAGCCTGAGCTTATCGGCTCCGGGAAACGAAAAGGTACCGACGGCGACCTCTCCTGGGGTGCGCTCTGACCAGACTCTCGAGGCGAATTCGGCGGTGGCGACGAGGGCCTCCCAGGAGGCCCAAAACTGGGAAATCGAGGGTTGAGTTTTTTGCGGCACAGGTGCCTTTTTTCCTCCTCTGAGTTCTCGCCCTGCTCCCAGAGGCTTGCCGGCCTCGGGGTGCTCGTGGAGAAGCTGCGCCTCGCCGAGAGCGCCCCGGGCGCGCCCAGGTCGTCCTGGGCGGCTGCTGCGGAGTCTGGGCTTCTGGCCAGAGCAGCGCACAGTACGTGTCCCTGGCCCAAGGTGCCCCCAGCTCTTCGCGCCACTCTGGAGCCCCGGGGGCCTTCCAGGCCTCGCGCGGGGTGCTCTGGAGGTAGTTTGAAAGCCTACGAACGCCTCGGGCCAGGGGCACTTCTGGCAGACGAGAGCGGGATGATGATAGTCTAGGTGGTGATGGTGATGGTGATGATGAACCTCTGAGGGCCTGGGGGTCTGGAGAATGTATCGGGCGCCGCGGCCGTTCCAGAGAGCTCCGTAACGCCTTGAGAGCATTCTGGAAAGCTCCGGGGCAACGTGTCTCATCCTAGGCCTACCTGTCTCCCGTTCTCACCGATTCTGGGCCTCCTAGTGGGCCCTCGTCGCCACGGCCGGGTTCAAGGGAGGAGAGCTCTCGGGAGTAGCAGTATAGGTCTCTTGTTGCTTCCCCGCCACCGCGTTGAACCCGCCATCGTCGGCCAGATCCAGCATTTCTAGCCGCTTCCTGCACTGCTCCCTCACGGCCTTGCTGGGCCGTGGCCTGCGCTTGATCGCGTGCGGCAGGTGGCAGAAGCCGCACTGAACGCCATTCGAACAGCCCCTCTTGGTCCCGAAGTAGAGGCACGGCTTGCAGGTGCCGGCGGCGTGCTGCCTCTCCTTGCCGCTCGGCCGCCACTGTGCCTCCGAGTGAGGGGCGGCCTCGCAATCCTCCGCACGCCCAGGGCCGCGGCCCGCATCATGGAGGTCGCCAGACGCCGAGCCGGGGATTCCGCCTCGCTCGTCGTCGCTGTTGTCGCCGATCCCAGAGCACCCGCCAATCTTGTACCCGCTGCAGTTGCTGACCTCCGCCCAGGAGCAGTGGCTACCCGTGGCGACCGAGTCCTCGGAGACTGTCCTACCCGGACCGCCTTGCACGCTCGCTGAGCTCTGCCCTGCGTCCCGGTGCGCGTCCTGGGCCGCATCCACACGCGCAGGGCATCCCCCAGTCGTGCTGCACCCAATCTGACTATCGCTTCTGGTGCGGCTGAGTCCAGAACCGACGTCCGTCAACTCCAAGAAAGAGTTCTTGACGACCAGCTTCGCTCCATCGGCCTGGCTGAGGCCCTGTGCATTGACGTTGCAGCCGCGGCTCATCTGACTGCTCGCTCGGGACAATTCAGACTGCACGGGTGGTGAGAATCGGTCTGCTCATCACCCCCTCTTCCTACTCCCGCTCCTCCACGCGCTGAGTACAGGCTCACCCCTCCCTTCAAGGAGCGTCCAAGAGGGGGCTGTCCAAGAGGGGCATTTCCGCCGGCTCCGCCCCTCCGCCAAGGAAGCGGTACCAACTCCTTCGGCCCTCGAAGGCGAGACCCTTTCTGGAACGACCTGCGTGGCTCTCCCTCCTCCGGCCCGGCTACAGTCGGACCCAGGCCAGAATAGCATCCATCAAGAACATGAGACACCCCGTCGGCCAAAAACAACAGATCATCTAAGGGTACCCTCCCCGGGATGCATAAGAACATCCAACAGGCACGAAGAACACTAGGGTAACTTCGATTTCATACCTTGATCTCAGACCTCGATATGACGCCTCGGTCTTCCACCTCGATCTTACACCTCGATCTTATACCTCGATCCTATGCCCTCGAAAACGAAGAACCGACCTCGACCTTATACCTCGGTCCGACCGTACTTGGCCTGGGGGGCAGGGGTCTTGAGGGAGACGGGACCTGGACCCCCCTGGGGCTTTGACCGGGACGGGTCTTTCATCCTGGGCCCAGGGGGTCGTGTTAGGAAGATCCAGTGAACCCTGGAAGTGGGCCCCGTGAGAGGCCGAAGGCAGCGAACGTAACCCGAAGCCCCTCAGAGCCGCGTGCACGCCCAGGAGGGCTGGGCGGGCGGGACCGCTAAGCCCCACGACAGGAACACCTGCTCGAGGGCCTTAAGCAGACTCGGGTCCTCCTTTGCTCAGGACGCTTCGTCTCCATGCTGATTTCCTCCCCACCTTACCAGGGGGGAGGGACCTTCCCCTCCCTCCGCATCGCCCCGCGACATGGGAGGGAGGAGGGAGGAGGGAGAAGGGAGAAGGGAGGAGGAGAAGGGAGGAGGAGGAGGAGGAGGAGGAGGAGGAGGAGGAGAGGAGGAGACGAGGAGGAGGTGGAGGAGGAGGAGGAGAAGGAGGAGGAGGAGGAGGAGGAGGAGGGGGAGGAGGAGGAGGAGAAGAAGGTCTCGGAGAAGGAGGAGGAGGAGGAGGAGGAGGAGGTGCAGCAGGAGGACGAGGAGGAGGAGGAGGAGGAGAAAGAGGAGGAAGAGGAAGAGGAAGAGGAGGAGGAGGAGGAGGAGGAGGAGGAGGAGGAGGAGGAGGAGGACGGGGACGAGGAGGAGGTAGGGAACGGAATGCCCATTCAGAAGGAGCGCACAGCACAGTCACCAGATCAGCTCGTAAACCTGAGCTCGAACAAGACTCGAGGGGGAGCATAGCCGAAAATATGGTCACACAAATTAGCATGTATAAATATGGAGAAGCTTCCAAGCTTCCCAGGAGTGTATCAAAACAGACCCAGGCCAACTTCTCTTCTCGTCCACTCTCGAGGGGCCAACGCGCTCAAACAACTGGGCCAACCCTCCGGCAAGGTGGTTAAGAAAAGCTGGCCCAGCTACTCAGAACGAGGCGTCTTAAGAGTTGCTATGTTTGTGTTTGTTTGATTATGTTAGTTACGTATTTATGTTTGTTGTTATGTAGTTTGTTGTCTTCTTTGGTTTGCTTACTTGCTACTTTCTTAACTGCAGATCAGCTTGCAAAACCTGACCTCGAAGAAGGCTCGAGAGGGAATACTCTGGGCCGTCCGACGCGAGCCTGCCCGTGACAGCTCACCGCAGGGGTACGCCCGCTCACCTCGAAAACTGATCCCTCGACCCGGGACGACTCTGATAGGTGGCGGCGTCCGAACCCGAACCCCGCCAGCCATCGCTTCCCCTGAATCGATGAAAGGGGGGGGGGGGCGGGGGCAAGGTCCGGATTTCGCCACGTGTTCGACGAATTTCGAACCCTACCCCCGCCGCCCATCGAATTGCCTGAATCGTTTATCAGCGAGGGTAGGGTTTGGATTTCGCCACCGATCTGAACGCCTCTTTCTCCTGTGCTCGCCAGGAGGTAAGGCTGAGGAAGAACAGCTTCACAGACATCGAGTGGACCTCCGAAAGCGTACGACTATGCAGCAGGGCCGCTCCGGAAACCGATTCTCGAAGGCGAGGCCCTTTCTGGAACCCTCCAGCTGGAGGCCACGAAGCGGGGCGCGAACCTCACCACCGCCAGCAGTCTGGGAAGCCCTGGAGCTTCTGCCGCCAAGCCACGCGCCCGGGCGAGTAACGCGGTGCGCGGCCGGCAAATGGGCTGCACGGAGCTCGAGCAAGCACGCGGGCGGACGGCACTACCCGGAAGCTGGAACACACATATACGCAGACAAGCGCACACAATCACGCGCGCACACACACACACACGCACGCACGCACGCATGGTTGGGTTCTGGTGTGGGACATCCGCAGGCCACGCGCTGGGCACAAGTGCGAAAGGCGAGCTTGCCCGTGCACTCGGGGGCCGAGCGCTGGAAAGGTACGTTAAATAGCCACAGACCTCCAGCTCTCGTTCGGGCAGGCCGCATCATGTGTACCCCGCTTCCTGGCCAGACAAGGCTTGGCGGCCCCAGTCCCCGACCAAATGGGACTTTCGATAGGCCAGATGGTTCGGGGCCCAGCTCGGGGATGCAAGAGAGTGGGCCCCATCCCCGAGGTAGGTGCGTCCAGATAGTCCGCTGGGGGTGTACCCGACGCCCCCTTCTGGTCTAAATCGTTAGATCTTTAGAGGGGAGCTCGGGCCGATTGGGTGCGAGAATTCGTTTGCGAGGCAGGCTACCCCTCGGAGGAGAAAAATACTTAATCATAGACGAAGCCAGGACGAATATAACATTGGACAGAAACGAATTGCAGAAGCCCAGCGAGCTGACGGGCGTGGAGGATGCACGGAGAGCCGCGGTAATTCCAGCGCGCTCCAAAACGCTCGGAGAGCGTTCTGGAATGCTCTGGAACGACATACGTTCGTCCCAGGCCTGGACGGGCCAGTCGGAAGAAGCAGGTCGAAAACTGGAGCAGTACCGGTTGCGTGTCGGACCGTCCACCCTCTCATCCGACGTCGCCGTTCTTCCTGAAATGGGCCCCTGGAGATCTCGACCCCTGCCCCTGAGCTGGCTTTTCATATTCGGTCGTTGCTTGACAGCACCAGGGCCAAGACACGACCTCTGGACGCCGAAAAGATCGAAGGACTGCAAGCAGTGGGCGGCCAGAATCAGACACCATCGATAGAGGCCTCCCAAATCGAGCCCGAGGAGATGTTTGAAAGCAGACCACGGAAGCTCTTGGTCGCCCCCTATGGCCCACAACAGCGCGCCCGATTGGGCGCACAGCGGACAGAATGCAACCCCCTCGCTAGTGGGCGCGATTGGGCGCTATTTGGCGCTATTGAGCTTTCGTGGGCGCTGTTTCACTCTATTTGGAGCTATTGAGCGATATGGGGCGCCATTCGCCGATTTGCAATCAAATCCAAGACGAGCGAAAGCTTCTGCGATTTACTATCTGATAGATGGGGTCGAAGGACCGCGCCGCATCGTCGATGCATTGCCGATGCATCGGCGACACCCCAGCGATGCATCGGCGACGTCGGCGTGTAGAAAACCGGGCTCCGCATCGAGCCGCATCGCCGATACGTCGGCGATGCGGCGCGATCCTGCGACCCCGCCCACTCTGACCCCGCCGTCTGGGAGGCCTAGAACGGATGACTGCAGCAGGAGGGCTCGCCAGCTGCGACAGCCACGGCAGGGGCCGCCGAGCGGGGAGTCCCGCCAGCCCCCCCCCTGAGGCGGGGTTCCGCCGACGGCCCCGAGCCCGCCCACCTCGCGCCGAGGGTGCACCACCTCGCACGCCGCGCCGGGGCCGGAGAGCCGCAGCCTGGTGCGCTCCCAGGCCTTGCGGTCCGCAGCGAGGGCGGTCGCCGACCAGAGGCCTCCTCGATGAGGGCCGAGCAGAGGGAGCCGAAAGATCGCGCAGCATCGCCGCTGCATCGCCGTTGTATCGGCGATGCATCGGCGATGCATCGGCGATGCGGCGCGATTCTCCGACCTCCCCTGCTTGGACCCACTTTAGGAGATCTAGACCAAGGCGTTCGGACAGCCGGCGGGCTGCGCCGGGCCGGGCCAGAAAAGAGACACTTGAGCGACGATCACAAACGGGTCTCACGCGAGATGGCACAGCGACCTCACGCGGAGGCTTGTACGCGGGCCGCGCGCGGCAAGTCGCACAAGGAGACGAGGGGCGCTGATGCGCGATCTTACGCGAGCAACTTACCCGCGAACATCAGTGCATTCGAAGCCGCATTGTTTTAGAAGACGGAAAAAACATAAACATAAACTGTTGGCGCGCCGCGCGGATTTCTTGGATCTGCGCTGGGCCCGCGGAGCCGGAGGCGCCGCCGGGGGGCCCAGCGCGGATCCAAGAAATCCGCGCGGAGCGCCAACAGTTTATGTTTGTGTCCTTTTCTGTTGTTCGATTTGTACGTCGCTCCCTTGGAAACGAGGAGGGGGCGGCCACGGAGGGGGCAAGCGGGGGGAGGCCTCAGGCACAGAGAGGCACCGCCGCGAGGAGTGCGCAAGCGGCCGCAGGCGTCCACGCTCCTGGACCTCTGGCGTTTTGAAAACATCGGGCATGTCCCCCTACAGGCAGATTTTGGAGGAAAAGACAAAAATTAGTCCAAAATCATTGATACATGGCCAAGAAATAATAGCAAAAACCGTTCCCAGACTCATGTTCGACTGTTTTTGAATCTTCCTCCTGTAGAGGGACAGGCCCGACTTAACTCTGGAGGCCGGTCCCGTGCCCCTGGGGGGCATCACAAAAAACGACTCGGGGTGAAAAGCCCGACTCGGGGAAGTGGCCGAGAGATCGGCGGCCCGCCCCGACGGAGTCGAGACGCCGGGTGTCTGGACTGGTTTGCCCGCGCCCGTGAACGCGGCCCATCGCGGCAGAGCGCCTGCGGGGTGCGCCGCGTCACCCGAGTTCGCACACAGCGCCTCGCGATTCGCGATGCGCGGTTGTGGTTGCGCCCACGCGAACCCTGGCATGGGGGGGGAAGTCAGGACAGACGCGGTCACCGTTTCTTGACGATCTCAAAGCCTGGAGACGGTCCCCACCGAAAACAACGAAGAACTCCAGCCTTGGTTTGTTCAAGTCGCAGACTGCCTGGGCATTCGCGCCGGCGCCAGCTGGTCTTCGAGCCAACACTCGCGCCTCGAGTGGCCGTTCGGGACGATCCTGGTATCCCCGGAACTCCCTCGATGAGGCGCAGCCGATGGAGACAGCCCTGGGCCCCGAAAACCTCCGACAACGCTCGAAGATCTCCGACAAAGCCTCCGAAGGCGTTCGCGCAAACATCCTGCGCCAGCCGAGCACTGCCTGCGCCACTCGGGCGCTCACCGACCCGGGGCAGCACGGGCGTGCCCGGGCCGGCCAGGGCCCTGTCGCGAAGCCTGGCCGGCAGCCCAGTAGCTCCCAGACCCAGGTCTTTTTGATTTGCGCGCGGGTGATCGTCTGCCGAACACTCCTGCCCGCGGCGCCGAAACGACGAGCGAGGGGCCCGAAGAAGGGCCGAAAGAAACGAGGGACGGACCAGGACCCGACAGAGCCGAGCGAGGGACCGACCCGAGCAAACAGGGACAACGAGAAAAATCGAGGGCCCGATCAGACAAGCGATGCTGGCAAGACTGGTGAGACAATTTGAAGCCCGCGTCCTGGCTCCTGGGCTTCCAGCCTCAACCTCTGGCCAGCAGCAGAATTATACAACAAGACAGAGTCAGCACGGCGGCGGAGAGCCCTTCCTCTCTTCGCGAGCCTGGGCTGGGGGGGGACAAGGAGCACATAAAGGATGAGTGGGCGCAGGCGGTACGGGTGCCTGCTTCTCAGCGCCTCTGTACCCACTCATCCTTAGCCTAGCCTAGAACCCTGACGAATCGGCACAGGACTCTACAGAGAGCAAGGCTAGAGAGGCAGAAAGCACGCCGCCCCCCGCAGCAGGAAGCGAAGATAATTTTCTCTGCTTCTCTTTGCGAGCCCGGGCGGGGGGAAAGACAAAAGCAGCACAGAAGGAGGGTGGGTGGGCGCAGGCAGAGAAAGCACAGACAGAAAGGCGTGCACAGATATCCCCGCGCGGCGGGCGGGCAAGAGTCTTCTCTCTTTGCGAGCCTGGCCAGGGGAGGAATGACAAAAGCACAGACGGGATAAGTGGGCGCAGGCGGAACGGGCGCCTGCTTCTCAGCGCCTCTGTACCCACTTATCCCAAGCCTACCCTACTTCCTGGAAGCTGTCCTCTGTAGCGGCCAGGAAAGGGAGTACTGCAGAACAACACTTCTGGCGGCTGGTGTCGGGGATCCGAGTAGTCCTGCCGGCATCAGACAGACGAGACAGACCAGATATCCCTTGGCGCGCCCGTGCGGCTCGGTGGGCAGCACACACGCCAGAACCGTTACATCCACCCCAACTCCGAAGTATACCCCGAGAAATCTACGGGGCCTCTAAAAGCCATGCAGGATCAAACAATGCCTGAAAAGTAAAGACATCGTGAGGGGCAGGAAAGGCATATATAACGTTGACATTGTCAACCGCAGTGACCTCACCGACTGGTTGATCAGTGCGGGGGTCACGACCATCACACACGCGTCGAAGCCGTGAGATGGTGCCAGAGGCCCGAGGAGGCCCAGTGCATGATTTAGTTAAACCAACTGCTTTCTTACACGAGTAGCGGCCACATCGTCGACAAAATATGATATTATTTAGCCGCCCGAGCACGTGCCCACCGCCAGTGGGAGAAGAGCACTACGAACGCAATGAATAGCTCTTGGAGACTGAACTAGCCCAACAATTCACGCATCGAAAACGACCCGCTGAGGGGCCCCAGAAATGCTCATGCATGGCCCCAGAGGAGGCACCAGAGAGGACTAAGGATGGAGCCGTGGGGGCAGGGGACTCGTCAGAATCCGCCGCCCAAACCTTTTTGGGCGCATTCTTGAAAATCCATGCTATACAATGACCGATATACACACCAAGATTGCGCACCAGCAAACCATAGCGCTTGATACGGTCGTGCAGGACCGTGTCCAGAGTGTGTAGGTCAGCACCTAGGTTAGCAAGTCTGTCAGCTTGCATATTACCCGCAGAGGTAGAGTGGCCACGAACCTTGGTGACCTTAATTAGGTGATACCCGATATCTGAAGCCGCACGGTGGACACGGACCCACAAGGATGTGTGAGTGGCCCATCCGTGCGTGGTAGCTTCATACCCCAATGCCTAACCGTCCACGACGTACTGGG